CCTGATCTCTCAGTGGATTGCCCTAGCATAAAAATCTTTATAATGATAAATGGGGATGAAAAGCTTTGTATTAAAATCCAGTGCAAAGCTAGAAAGTCCATTTTGTTTTCAGTGATGACAACAGAATGTCCTGTGTTGAGGTAAGCTTTAGTTAACTGTAGCAGGTATATCAAAGTAGGCCAAGATATGTTTGTTCCAGTATAACACTCGAAGCAGATTCCAAGCCTTGTAGGAGGAGTATTTGTATGAATAATAACTACTGGGTATACAAATAACACCCTCATCACCAGTTGGCATCTGAAAAGCAACAGCAGTTGTTTCCCAGCAGTTCAGTACTGTATTACTAACCTTTTGGAAGCAATGTCATTTGTTTACAAAAAGCTGTAAAGGAGAGAAGGGACTGGGAGACACCACAGCTACCTAACATACACCGCAGTGTATCTCTATTGAAGTATATGACTTTAAAAGATGACTTCATAAAGAGTAATAGCAGATTATTGTTACCTATCATAATTCTTAGTCAGTTAGTGAGTAGAGAGTCACACTTCCCCCACCTGCTGAAACACATGGGAGATATTGTCACCGTCAGCATTGCCATAAGAAAAACACAGTCCCGCTTGTATTTTTGTTAGTGCAGTTGGATATTGTAAGCAAGGTGTTCTGCATATGCTCTTCACTGTGGTGTCCCAGTGGAACGTTGCCCATATGGTTCAGACCATATGCTTCTACAGAATTTAGTTATACTTCATGGGATTATACATAGTCTCTCAGGAAATGTGTATAACATTTGCTCAGAACTAGAAACTGCACAGTAATCTTTCACAGTGTTGCAGAATGACTGGAACAATTGCCTACAAGCAAGTCAGTGTGGAGCAGTGGTTACAGTCTTGGACTTAGAATTGAGAGTTCATGTCCCCAATGAACTGTTGCAATGTGTTGGGTAACCTTAGTTCAGACACTCTTAGGATTCTTGTAAGGATTAAGACGGGATGATGTGAGCTTGAATGCTGCCTTGAGCTGATTGGAGGAAAACTGGGATATTGTTAGGAGATTGGGGGACATCCCTTTTCCGTCCTGGCTGGGGATGGTAGGATTTGCAGTCTAACAGGTTAGAGCTGGGGGAGATATCTTTAAGGGTTCAGCGTTTCAAGTGCTTTTGGGGACTTTGGATCTCGTGTTTCTGTCTAAGCGTTTTAGATTTCTTTGGGCAAAGGTAGAAGGCACCTTGGTTTAAAAGGACTGCAGTGTGTCAGAACTTGATCTCCAATAAAAAACAAAACAGAAGGGAAGGGAAGACAGAGCACAGGCATTAGGCTTTGGAAAAGCAGATTTTGACAAACCCAGAATGTCATTAAGCAAAGTACCGTGGAAAGATTAAGCTGTATGAAAAGAAGCGTATGAATGGGACTGGCAGCTTTTGAAAACTATTATTCCGAGAGCATCATCATGAGCTATAGCCATGCAAAATGGAGGGGCGAAAAAAGAATGCTGAGAATCACGGCAGACAGATGAGATTTGGGCAGGGATCTTCTTAATGATCAGAAAATCAAAGAGTGTACAAAGAAAAGCAGTGCTAAGAATGAGCATGTTCACACAGGAGAAGTAAAAGCAAAGGCAGAAAATCAGTTGCAGCCACTGTGAGATGACATAAAGTCCCTTGTTAGAAGAGAAAGCAAAACAATATTGGAGGGCACACAAATAGAGGAAAGGTCAGAGGTCAGGACAAAGGAAGAGTGTGCCTGGGAAGTATGTGGAAAATGAATTCAAGCTAGCATAGTTTTTGTGGTGATAACCTAAAGAGTGCTGAAGTGGTCACTTCTGCCCCCTCCCCAGCTGTTTTACACTGTGTTAATAGGAGCAATATTTCCAAGGCTTGGGAAGTAGACTATGCTGCTGCAGTCAGCAGCACTAAAAGACCTCACACAGAGAGCACTGTTTTGTCTTAGGCAGCAGCACTGCTCAAGGAGAAAAAATGGTGTGGCAGTAAGGATAGAGGAAAGCAAAGCTTTGGAGACAGCGATGAAAAGCTTAGGGTTTAAAAATCTGTGAAACATATGAATGAGTATGGCCTAGAGCAGTGATTCCCAAACTCTGGTCCTCCAGGTGTTTTGAATTTCACCTCCCGGAAGCCTCAACCATTGTGCCCAATAGTCTGGGATTCTGTGAGCTGAAGCTCAAAACACTTGGAAGGCCAGAGTTTGGGAATCACTGGCCTAGAGTAAGGGGGGAAGCAGACGAG